TGATTTCGAATATGAAATTTCCACCTTACTGTGATGCTTCTTTCCAAAGTTATCCCAGGTAAACCGTTAAGACCGAATTCCCAGTACTTGTCAGAAATGTGATTACAGCGTCAAAAAAGTTGAAAACACTCGTAAAAGGTTGTGTAGTGGAATCAGCGTGCAAGAAAACCCTAGTACACAATTTTTTAGCTTTTCTGAAAAAAATTTTATCAGATGGCATATTTGTCAATGATCCCACATACTGGAAGTTTTTACCGTAATCCCACAGTAACGAAGAGCAATCGGTGATTTGCTCGACAATGTGAATCTAAGTTGAAGCCTGCTCTACAGAATGGTACTTGATTGGCATAGAAAGACCCATTGGGAAGAGAGATATTGGCGATTGAAAAGTGTGTACTTACTTTTGGGACACCCTGTAGTTTACGCTCTTTTATATCGAATCAGATCGCGTATCCAAAGTAGCAACTCAGTGAAGATCTCTGCGTTTTTGATCAAAATCGAAAGTGGGTGCTCTTTTTTTATGTCTATTCCGGACGTATTGGGACTTTTTAACTCAGCAAATCTGCAGAATGCAATTTCTCAGAATTGAGTTTAAGTTACTATTTATAGTGAGCTCTAGGGGCTAAATAATACCAAATGTAAGCAAAAGGTTTTAACTCAATCAATTTCGAAAACTAAATGAGATGAAAACTTTTGACTCGTGGCTTAAATCTCGTCCGAAGTGGCCCAAAATCTCACTCTTTTTGCGTTCGCAGTTTGAAATCTTAAGCATGTGATTGAGACGATCGGTCACGATCTCATATAACCTTTGATTCAACTGGCATGGCTTCGGGAAGGCGGGCTTTGTGACGTAATCAATGCCGCTCGCGCCCGCGACGCACCTGCGTCTCTCTTGCGAGGGTGCTCTCTGGTCACTAGCTGGCCTCAATTAGGTCACGGATTCCCGCCTTCCCGAAGCCAAGCCAGTTGAATCAAATGGTATGATAGTGAGTATGAAAACCGGAATCTTTGACAAAAAAATGTTATATCTATAATGTGCTGCAATTGTGACCGCTTGCTTCGTAGTACTCCAGTACATTCAAAAATTAGTGATAGTCGAAGTGATCTAATAGCATTCAAATTCAACACATATAATGTTGAAAGCAGCAAATGTTTGGTGACAATAGGACAAAGAGAAAAAAGGATTGGACTGATAAATACTTGGACCCGGATGTTTTCAGTTCGAAAAGGATAACGATTTTTGATTTGATCAAATTAATCAGCATGAGATATTCAACCTTTTCTTTCAAATAACAGCACTAACAAGGGATGTCAGGAAACTTCGAACTGCGTTTTGAGATGAGACACATATACAGGGTGTCCTTAAAGTATGTATACACTGTTTGATCGTTAATATCTCTTTTCCCAAGAAGTCTTTTGCCTTGCTTCAGGTACCATTTTGTAGAGTTGGCTTCAACTTAGATTTCAGTATGGAGTGAATCACCCAACTCTTTTCATTACTGTAGAATTACGGTAGAAACTTGAAACATATGGTGTCAACGTGGAAAAGCTGCCGTTTCAAAAATTTTCAAAAAGATGTGAAAACTTGTGTAATAGGGCTTTCATGGACGCTGAGTTCAATACTCAACTATTCACAAGATTGCTAAGCTTTCTAAACGCTGCAACCGCACTTTTTAGGAACATTGAAAAAATGGCCGCTACCTCTTACCTGGCATAACTCTTCAGTGAAGCATCATAATAAGTTGGGAACTTTACAGTTAGAATCAGCAACTCTAATTAGTTCAGTGTAAATGTTTTCAGATTGTTTTGTTTCCTTTCTGAGGCAAAATATGGCCTTTCATGGCTCAAAACCCTCTTTGAAGCTTCCACCGTAATCCTACAGTAATGAAGAGAGATGTGTGATTCACTCCAAACTGAAATCTAAGTTGAAGCCACCTCTACAAAATGGTACCTGAAGCAAGGCCAAAGACTTCTTAAGAGATATTAACGATCAAACACTGTATACATACTTTACGGACACCCTGTATATATGGAATCAGCTTCGAACGCTGTTTCCAAAGTGCTCTTCCTATCTGCGGCGCATTATTCTGAAAAAAGTTATGAGTTTTTTTTCTGTGCGATTGCCGTACTTTTCCATAAGGTAAGGCTGTCTGTAGATGGAAATCTGCCTAAAAACGGTGCTGGGCTGCAAAACCTCTCCTAAAAACGGTGCTGGGCTGCAAAACCTCTATTATGAGTCTTTTATGATTGACAAGAGACTTTAGGCAGTCAATAAGCACTTAGGTGATGATACCGTAATGCCAGCAGATTAAAGAGTAGGCAAATTTTGCACAGAAGAAAATTAATAACTTCGATGGGCCTACGTGTTTTTTGTTTCAAGAGGCACTACTACAGCAGTTTTTTTACTGAATAAATGTGATATGTGAGACAAAATTTGACTTCAGCGAAAAAAACTTTTGAACTGTAATTTTGCAGCGCAGACATCCGCATTTACCACTCTGACCTCGAAAGGCTTCTTCTATCAAAGGTAAATTAGTTGTTTCATATGATCACTGGTTTCAATAGCTTTTGATTTTCAGAAAAAGCTTGTCGTTATCGAAAGTATCGGAAGCAGCAGTATCACAAAGGAAGACCTAGTGATTGAGAAACTGAATGATTTGAAGAGAAAGTTAAAGACAATGAGGAAGCTTGATGCTACTGTTTACATTTTTGTTGTAAGTTTCACAACCTTGTATCATAGTTGTGGTGCTCCGAATCTTATACTTGCTGCTGTCCGTGCAATTTTTGATATTATTGTAAAGCTGTTCGAGAAGATCATGTGTTATCTTATATATAAAGCTGAATGTCTGTTTGTATGTCTGTATGTCTGTCTGTCTGTATGTCTGTATGTACGTATGTTCCGAATAGAAAATTCCATTTCTGAACCGATCGGGACCAAACTTGGCACACATACACTTTGGGCCCCGGCGAGTGTCATAGGCTACTTTTCGTCATCGATCGATATCGATTTTATCGATTTTTATCGATTTTTTTGCTGAGTTCACCTACGGGGCTGGGAGTTGGCACAGGGGGGTAATCGAGCATGGGGATTCCGAATACAATATTGGTTTTCAGGATTATCGATTACTTTTATCGATTTTATCGATTTTTTTGCAAAGTTTGAGCTACGGGGGTGGGAGTTGGCACAGGGGGGTAATCGAGCATGGGGATTCCGAATACAATATTGGTTTTCAGGATTATCGATTACTTTTATCGATTTTATCGATTTTTTTGCAAAGTTTGAGCTACGGGGCTGAGAGTTCGCACAGGGGGGTAGTCGAGCATGGGGATTCCGAATACAATATTGGTTTTCGGGATTATCGGTTACTTTTATCGATTTTATCGATTTTTTTGCAAAGTTTGAGCTAGGGGGCTGGGAGTTGGCGCAGGGGGGTAATCGAGCATGCTGATCATCCCCAAGGGGGGTGATCAGCATGCTCGATTACACCCCTGTGCCAAATTCCAGCCCCCTAGCTCAAATTTTCAAAAAATCGATAAAATCGATAAAAGTAATGGACGATCTTGAAAACTAATATTGTATTCGTAATCTGCATGCTCGATTACTCCCCTGTGCAAACTCCCAGCCCCGCAGGTCAAACTTTACAAAAAAAATCGATAAAATCGATAAAAGTAATGGACGATCCTGAAAACTAATATTGTGTTCGTAATCAGCATGCTCGATTACCCCCCTGTGCAAACTCCCAGCCCCGCAGGTCAAAATTTACAAAAAAATCGATAAAATCAATAAAAGTAATCGATAATTCTGAAAACTAATATTGTGTTCGGAATCCCCATGCTCACTTCCCCCCTGTGCCAACTCCTAGCCCTGTAGGTGAACTCTGCAAAAAAGATCGATAAAAATCGGTATAATCGACATCGATCGATAACGAAAAGTGGACTGTGACACCCGCCGGGGCCCGAAGTGTATGTGTGCAAAGTTTGGTCCGGATCGGTTCAGAAATGGAATTTTCTATTTGGAACATACGTACACGGGTCTAGCTGGCAGGCCCGGCGGAGCCGGGCAAGCCAGCTAGTTTATTAATAAATTTCATGACATAAGGTTGGGTTTTTCTAGCAGAAAAGTAACAAGCGTGAGAAATGGAGCCCAAGAGACCGAAGGCTCAAGGTAAGTGAAAAGGGAGGCGTGAGAGAGGGAACAGATTACGCAAAAACTGTTAACAACGGTGTAGGCCGCGTGCTCTGAACGCAATCGGGACATTATGGTGTCTCCCGCAGATGTTCCGATTTTGTCCGGAATGTGTCCGTCGGGACACCTGATTTTGTCGCGCACTGTCCCGAAACAAAATCAGGTGTCCTGATTTTGTCCCGACACCGATTTCGGTAGGTGCAGGCATTCCGTGACGACACCTCGTTTTGTCCTGCGCGAATCAACCGCGAATGTTTGAGTAGAGAGGGCAGTTCTCATAACCTTGAGGCGAGATCGCGGCCAGTTGAGGGCAAGACCTGCCGGCAAGAGGGTAGATTTTTACCACCCCTTCGCATCTCAATTTTGCATTTCCATAAGAGATTGAAGCTAGCCATGGTGATGAATGAATTACTGCTATACAAAATTTTTTCAAAGACTTTCTGAGAGTATCGCAGCTCTCCGAAATTTTCTAACACCAAAGTGAAAATCGCAAAATTTGGAGCCCCATTTTTTGAAGATTAATGTCAGTGCCTAGCTCATAGAAAATTACGTTCGAACTTAACAAAGAGCGCAATTTCTCCAGTAATTCCTAGAAAGGTGGGGATCTTACCTCAAAATATTAATATGGTTTGTGCGAGTTAGCTTCCACTCCACCTAATAACCGATTCAAAGTCTTGGGATGATTTGGAGAACCTTGATTTCTACTCTGTTTGTGTTTTGAAAATTTTGTCCTTACTCAGCGGAACTCTCACAATCCTGGTTTAAACATAATTTTCAGAAGTCTTAGTGTAAATCTAAAGAGAGAGCATTCTAGATGACTTCCCTCCATTATGCGTCCAAATATGGGCACCCAAAAGTCGTGGAACTATTGTTGAAACGACGAGCAAACGCCAACGTTAAAGCCGATGAGTTCAGGGGTTTTGGGTATGCACCTCTGCATATGGTGGCTAAGTACGGTCGCTTAGGACGAAAGCCGAAAAGCAAGAGAAAAGGTTCTCGTAAGTCGAAACAGTATGTCTGTACAACTTAGACGTTACAAATAAGAAGTGTCAAGAATTGTTGGTTCCTGCGACATTACCTTCTTTGCCAGAATCAGATGGTATTCCCGACGACATCGACTCCTCCACTGCCATCATCAATCTTCTGGTAAAATATGGAGCGTACGTGCAGACCAGCGTTGAATTGACTTAGTCAAAGATATTTCTGATTTTAGAGACGTCGACATCACTGACACTTCTGAATTGACCCCATTGCATCATGCTGCTCAGAAGAATAACGAAATGGGAGCACGCGCGCTCATTAAGAATAATGCTAAAATTAACGTATGTTTACACTGATCCAGGGAAAGTATTCTGAAGATGTAACACTGTCGAAAAGAGAAAACTGGACGCTTTTTGTATTTATAGAGGTATGCTCCAAAACAATTTCAGCGTAGGATAAGTAAGTGGAGTGGAGGGAAAAGTTGGGAAATTTTGGAGGTAAAGCGGCATTTATAATAAAAGAGGCCGTGGTAAGGCGCTGCATGAACGCCACATTTCTAAATTGATGCGTTAATTGTTCTGTCAGCCCAGATGGCGAACATAGGTATTTGCGGATTTTGCTTTCAAAAAATGCATAACTTCTTCATTGTAAAAAATTTGCGTCTCTGACCTATACTGCTGAACATCATTTCGGTACTTATCAAATCTAAGCGATACTCCATCTAAGCTGTACATAAATGCATTAAGGGAAACTGACTAAAGCGATATAGGAAATTGACAGTCGATGTGATGATAACAATATCAGTAACCTGGACGAAAGTAGCGAGCGGTAGCCGCGATTGTGATGGCTGAGTATAATTGAAAGTGTATAAACCGTTAATTACACATTTATCATTACAGATACACGCAGCTTCCCACGTTTTTCGCAGAGACTTTATGCTCAATGTGCTAATCCTTAATTTGACATTTATATGTAACTCATCGTCAGAGTCAAGCGTGGAGTGTGGCGCGCCACACCGGGGGGGGGGGGGGTCACATTAAAAAGTCAAGGTGAGAGGAGGGGGGTCGTCATACTGATATTAGCGATTACATGGTATTTGTTAACATGTCGCGCAGGCCCATTATGTAAGATATTAGCGCATTGATGTCCTACCGCGTAAATGTACTATTAGCATAACAGAAGAGTCCTAGATTTCTTAAACATCATTTTCGTAATTCGCAAGCCAAATGACCCCTTGGGCCAAGTTTCAGCTATTTGTGATATTTCCAAAATTGAACCAAGCTAACATGTTCCAAAATGACAAGCCCAAAGTGAGCTTGTCATTTTCGAACATGTTAGCTTGGTTTTAGGTTTGAGATATACCTGACGATGGGTCGCTAAAGCTGACGATAAGACGATGCCAGCAGCAACGCCTTTTGTGCGCGATTGACGCCAGGCGACGCTACTACTTCTAGTTGCTACAGCCAACGCGAAACAGGCCCGCTAAAGCTAGCGATGCTGCGCTGCTCTACGCTGCTGCTCGCTGCTATGCGATATGACGCTCACTTTTGGTGAGCTTCTCTCAACTGCTTCCTGCTGCCAACGCTGATTTGCCTCGGATTTGTCCCTTTTCAACATATTTTGAACGTCTGAAGGTTTTTGAGCACTTTTTGCGATATTGAACTATGACAAATTTGCAAAACCAAAACGCAATGCTTCGATAAGAAATTCATCAAAGAATCGACAAAGTAGACAAAGAATTGGATCTTAACCAACTACAGAGAACTTTTTTATCGTTACTCCAACAAATTGGAGTAACGATGAAAAGCTAGAGGCCTTTGACGATTTAGTGGGATGTTACCGGTACACCTCAATACAATAACGGCAGCTATGACCTAGATTGGTGTATGTCAAGAGGCGCATTTTTATTGCCAGATCGACACCTAGATTGTTCGGTTTTTGCCTCGAGCACCCAAGGTTCTACTGCGACACTCGCTTGAATATTTGTTGAATGATTATTTTCTCAGTATATGCAATATTTGGTTTGCCAATATTTCAAAAAAATTGTTGAATATAACAAGATGACTTTTTGAATCTCATGTAATCATATTTTCAATTTTGGTAGTTTCTCGAGACTTACTTTCCTAATGGCCTGAACTAGGCGTAGTAATGGGTAAAGCTACTTAGTTCTTGCACCCAAAGCCTACCCAGTGCAGCAGCCATGAGCGGCTAAAGGCAGCGCAGGCATCAGCGATTCGCCAATACCCGCTATACCTCTATCGTCAGGTATATCTCAAGCCTTATAGATGAGTCTGATACTTCTTTTTGCACTTAATACAAGGTACTACCACTTCTTTGCTCGTATTAGGAATCTCATCTATGTAAATAAAGCTGAATGTCTATCATAACGTATTGACAATGCTGGGCAGAGCCGGGTACTTTAGCTAGTTTCGAATAAGCTCTAAACTCTGGAACTGAAAGTAAGCTAGAATCTGGTTTATCCCATTTTCGCTTTCAATATTTTAGAGAAGACCCATCATGCTCAAGTATTTTTGTGAAAATTACGAGGTTTACGTTATCCAATATATATATTCTTGCCGCCTTCCCTCGCGATTCACGTAGTAGCGCAGAACCTAGCATCTTACCGTAACCCAATATTTTCACAGTATTTTCCATTTGCATAGGTAAGGAAAAACGACTATATCTTTCCCTAGGAGAAACGATTCTGGATGAAATCCTTATGGTGTAAAGAAGAAGGTTTGGCAGTGACATGAATATAAAAAGGCAAATATTTGAATGCTTTGCAGTCAAATTAATGGGTTGTGGCGCAACCCCTAAAAAGATGTCAGCCACAGCTTTTCTGGGGTTGTGCCACACCTTGAACTTACCTTTGAAGAGAATTTTAAGGAACAAAGACCTAACAGTTCGATAGCCAAAACCTGTAGTTTCTATAGAAAAATTAGGCTGAATTCGTCTTCTTTTGTTCAAGCAATACTTGCTGGAAGCACAGCTACTCTAAGCGAAAAAAGGGGACAAATGAAGACTTGGCGAGCTCTTAAGTTACAGTCTGATGCTTGTTTGAACCAGAAAATGGAATGGGCAAGTAAGGAGTAATGCTTTCTGTTGTGTACAAAAAGAGGCAGCTAATTCACTTTTGGATCATAGTTAACCATGTCTAAAACGACCGCTTCACTTGGGTAGCCCAGTATTGGGAAAATCCTCAAAATTCGCTGAAACTTGGTCCACAAGATCATTTGACATGGTAATTACGAGCTTATTGCTAATTAGGCTTGATAGAACCTTTTTGCCATGCCTACGATGGGCAAACGATAATGCTGAGAGGGGACGGGGTTTTGGCAGAACTCAAAGGAGGGGGTGGGGGGGTCGTCCCGGCGAAGATGTGCCACACCTCTTGCTCGACCCTGCTCATCGTGTGCTTCGAGCTCATGTTTCCTAGTGACAAAAAACTTTCATAAATTTCTGATATCTCTCCGCCTCCTTTATATGGAGTGTCGCAAAATGGGCATTTGTTTGATTGTTGATATCTTTTTTTCCATGGAGTCTTTCGCTTCTTTGGGCACACCATTTTGTAGAGCTGTAACTCAGTAAGCAAAGCATCAATTTCTCTTGATTACTGTATATTATGGTCAAGATTTTGAAACGGTTTTGAGCCGTCTTCCACACTCAGTCTCAAAGAAACCAAACAGGGTAAAGTTCTTACAGTATGCTGTACAGTGACGTTGATGGTAATATGTAGTGCACTTTACCAAAAATTCTTTGGGGTGCTTTTCAAAGTTCTTCCTGAAAACCTTTTTAATCATTTACAAGAATAAGCTAATAATCTGCACATTTTTATAACGCAATGGAGAGCGATCATTATTTGCTTAGACTGTAAATCTAGGTTATAACACACCCAAAGAATGGCATGTGAGGGACAACAATAAATTTTGTTTGAAGAGAGATATAACAGTCGAGTGTGTACATATTTTCGGGATACCCTGATATGCGTCGCAAATGACACTCAAATGGCATACAATTTTGACTTTAGGCATGTCCCACCTTTTCCTATGGGCCTATAGTATACTACCCGATGAGTCGGCCAAGTCTATGTGAAGGCAAGTTGAGCAGGGCGTTGACCACCAGGGACGATGAGGAGTTTGACTGAACTGGTGGACGAGGGAATTTGGTATCATCGTTGAGAAAGCAATTTGAAGTACACAATGAGGGCAGCAGAGTTTGGTGGCCTGTATGATCTAAGTGCATGGCAAGAGAAACTGCACGGAACTATGGAAGGTTCTTCAGTAAACACAAAAATAAATGCCCCGGCCAATCCTTATGTAAGCAGTGGCTCGCTTATATAGACAGACCTACCGTGTTCAAACAGCGTTATCCATTCGTCATGTTGCGTCAGTGTGTTTACCGTCCGCTACTTTCGTTCGGACTTTGATATGCATTAGAGCTTGTTTTTTTTTCGCTGTGCAACTCAAGATTTATAGTTCTTTATATTTTGTTTGCGCATATTGCGCATACAAACATCGAATTTGTTGTTTATCGTTGACTGCTCATTGCAAACATCCCGTTTCTCGTCAAAGGCCCTCAGGGGCCCAATTTGGAATTGTGATTGTGCTGAAGCATAGTGATGCCCCGGGTTTCAATTTTCTTGTATGCTACTGAAAATATCAGAAAGCACATCTTCACTGTGGACGCGTTTATCACTAGACGCTCCGCTTTTGCTCACGAAAACATACCTATAGTCGTCCTCCCCCCACTAAACACTCAGTGGACGAATTTGAATTTGAGCAGGAGCAAACGGCTAGCGTCAGAGCGCGGCAGATGTCGCTCTGATCAAAGTGTGCGCATGTGCTGTTTTTCCATTTCTTTTCGTGTTTCTTTGCTGTTACTTTTATTGCGGCAATGTATCATATCAGATTCGAGATTTTGTTACCGGCGATCGTTGTTTCATGCTGTTATTATCGCTTGCCTTACTTTTTTTATAGGTAAAGCTGGAAATACGACGCTGTGAAGACTAGGGGCTAGGAATTCACTTTCTCACAGAGAAGGGAAGCGCTAAACAAACAAGCAAGTGCTTACGTGCAACTAAGGATATACATATGGCACGGATATTGCCATACAGAATGAATATGTCGATGCATCGTTAAAAAAACTTACCTATACTTATTGAAAAGATTTAGATCTGAAGAAAAAAGTTTGGAGAGCACACTACAATTTACGAAGCAACGCTTGTGCATGTGTTTTCACCGGAGAGGGCGATAAGCGACATTCCATCAGAAAATCTTCAATTGCATCTTATCTTCAGCATTATCTGAAAAAAAAAATATAAGGCAAACGATAATAACAGCATGAAACAACGATCGCCGGTAACAAAATCTCGAATCTGATATGATACATTGCCGCAATAAGAGTAACAGCAAAGAAACACGAAGAGAAATCAAAAAAAGCATGTGCGCACTTTGACTGGGGCGGCGTCTGCCGCGCTCTGACACTAGCAGTTTGCTCCTGCTCAAATTCAAATTCGTCCACTGAATGTCTAGTGGAGGGAGGACGACTATACTTTGGCCATGCGCAATTCACCCAAGTGGAGCAGTTAGAGGCGCAACGCGTCACAATTTTCAAACAAAAATAAGTAAAAGCGACAATCGACACAAGTAAAGATCTCCTGGTGGTCAGCAGACTTTAGAACACCGATTACAACCTATGTCGAGGATAACCTTGTAGCGACTGCGGTGTGTGTGTTAGGGTGTTAACACCTCAGAAAAGAGAAAAGATGAGAACAACTTTTTCTCCTGCTTCCACTGACAAATAAAATAACCAAGAAAGAGCTAACCAATCTACAAAAACAGAAATAACTCTATGAATCATTAGTTTGGTAAGTGAGGGTTAGTGTGCGAGAGAAAATACATAGACTAGAGGAACGATAAGAAGGAGTTAGGAGAAGCGTCATAATAGCGTGCACAACAATAATCTTGCTGAGACTAGTATCAGCAGTTTCTGCACGAAGCTAGAAACTTTTTTGGAGTATGCCAGAACTTTCTAGAATATAGAATTTGCTGCTTCTTCTTTGATTACACCTTACATTCTTGCTCTCAGCTACAAATGCGAAAGAATAGAGTTTGAAGAACTCAGAAGTTACTGAATACAAAAACAGAAGGAGACAATAAGCGATTTCATGGGAGTATTTTCGATTTAGGGCGAGTTTAAGCATCACTGAAAAAAAACGTACTGCAGAAGATAGATCGAAATGGCGTCTCTCCCCTGATGTTGGCTTGCATCCACGGGTCTGCTGCGCTCGTTCATCTACTGCTCTCTGCTGGAGCAGATTGCACATCTATGGATAATCGCGGCAATACCGTATATCATGCGGCGGCATTTAGCGGCAAGAATGACATTCTTCAGCTCTTGTTCCGCTTTGGTATTTATGGAGAAATGTGTCATTTGTGTGAAGTAAATTATGCGTTTTATGAGGAGAAGACCTTCAAGGAATGTTGTATAGAGCAAATAAGGACGGTAAGACTCCGCTTCTCTTGGCCGTGGATCGAAACCATTCAAGTACTGTGGCCATCATCCTTCCTCTGATGCCTAAAGATCGCCCAGATATAGACGAGTCTGCATCTGTCCTTTCACTCACTATTCGCTATCCTGTAATTTGCTTTTTAGAATTCACAAGTGGATGTTGCATACTGCCGCCAGTAAAGGTTATTGCGATGTGTGCAAAACGCTGATTGAGGTAGACTGTCACCTACAGCTACATCTTTCAGGCAAAAAACGTAAATTTTTGATTCTTCGCGACTTCAGAACGGATACGACCCCCGTTTGCGCGATGATGAAATGAAGCTTCCACTTCACCATGCTGCGAAAGAAAACAGTGCTGATGTTTTGCGGTATCTGCTTGAACTCGCTGTAAGCTCTCCACAGCTTTCAAAACGTTTTGAGAGAATGTTTGTGAATTTAATGATACTGCTGCTTATTGTCAGCATCGATTGCTTGTAAGAAGTGGCTATGCGGTGCAAAAGTAGTGCGCTTTCGGATCCAAAAAGGAAAGCATGTTTATAGAAAACCTTTTTGGATGGGGTAGACATCATATTGGAGAGCAGAACGCTTGTTCCAAATCTGGCTTTCTTATCTGCGGAATGTTCATGTATGAGGAGGTATGATTTGATTGGAGCAAATGTGCGTATGTAGAATAAAATGAGTTGTTACAACTTTTCTAGCCCCTAAATGAAGCATTCAAGAGTAATACGTCTTTTGTTTAAGAGTATTTATTGAATAAAGTGTTCCAATAATAATCAATGCTCTACTAAAGGGCTAGAAAAAATATCACCAATTTTTATCCTACCTGCACAGCAAATTTTGCTTTGATAAAAGTCATATCTCCTTGTTCACAAATGTTCCGCAGGTATGGAAAGCAGATCTGGATTCATTGTTTTATGCTCTTCAATACGTTAAACATCTAAAAAGACCACTTCGACTAAACAAACTCTAAACACTAACGTTTCCTTGTAAGTGCTTCTGAAATCAAAACTATCAAAGATGTGCGTGTTTGTATGTGCTTTAGTTAAGAAACGCCTTTACTAGCAGAGAAAACCCTAAGACGTGACGAGTGTTGAGTTGATTTAATGAGAAGCTTAATCGTGTTAACGAGGTTTCTACGAGGGCTATGAAGATTATGCGTCTTCGACTTTCATCCTGTAAAGCCTTTATAAAAAAAAGTGCCCCGCTTGCATTCCTTAGTTCCTACTCTGTCTCGGTACCTTGAAAAAATACTAACATTTGATCTTCAGCCTGACACTATTGATGCGAGCGATCAGTACGGCTTCACACCATTCCTGCAGGCCGTAGCAATGAATGCACTCGATGCAGTCAAGGTTCAGTGTTCGTTCAACCCACAAATTGTGATATAACAGCAATCCAAGGTGCTCGTTGAACACGGCGCCAACATACTCCTCATCGACTGCGACGGACGAACGGCCATTGTGATCGGCTCAAAGTTTAGTGCTGTTGAGGTGTTGTTGGTAAGCGTTGTAGTGTAAATTGAATGTTTGAGTGTTACACATATTTCGTCTCACTGATATATCGGGAGCTTAAATGTTGAATATCTCCTTAAAGAGGCTTGTCACCAGCTGAAACCGAGAGGATTTGGAAACGAAGCTTTCCCATTATTTAAAAATTTATAACAAAGTTGCTTTTGCTTCAAAACGACATCCCCTTGCCCTTTCTCCCTCCGCCTTTCAAATCTCCCCACTTGTCTTTTTGCTTCTTTTTGCTCCTCACTCAAACCAGAATAATTGGTACAAGGCTAAGAACCCCCCTTACCATTTATTCCAAAAAAGTTAAAATAAATTATAATTGATTTATAATAAATTCTAAATTTTTCACCACCCTTTGCATCAAACGCCAAATTTGTTTTACTCCAATTTCAGCACCCAAAACCTACGTGTCGACATCTCTCTTACTTTCCACTTTCCCCCATCCTTTCCCTGCCCTATCCACCTCCATTCCTCCTCCCCTGGATTATGACAAAAATGTATGACAAGAATTCATGATTTATTATAACGGGCTAAGGGCGTTTACGTTTTGTGTGTGTGTGTGTTGTGTGTGTGTGTGTGTGTGTGTGTGTGTGTGTGTGTGTGTGTTTGTCTATCTGTCTGTCTATAACGAAATTTACAGAACGAGCCGCAGACAAGGTTTCAAGCAACAAGTTTTTGCATAGCGTACTCTGCCAACACCTAGATTCTCTATGCAAAAGCTCAAACGAGTTCGTTAAGTGGGTTCTTAAACTGCGCGTCAATCGGGAACCACTTAGCTTCTGGCCCGAAAATCGGGTTCGCATCACCACTCTTTGCGAAGTCGTGGATGTGTTTGCCATGTTAATGTCCAAGACATGAACTTCATTCCAAAAAAGTGATGAATTCATACATCACGAAAACGACGCGAAAAAGAATTGGTTGCGCAAATGGTCAATTTGCCAAGGTTTTACTCCAAGGTTTTACCAGAGCACTTGAATATATTTTCGCACACGGATATAGCTCACGGTGATTATGTCCTTATGATGACTACCACGCCAAGAAAAGTTCAGAACATTATTCAAAGTTGCGTTTCTTTCTCTGCGAAAAGTTTCATTCACGCAAATACCAATTTTGCATGAAAAAGCATTTAGATAGAATGAGTAGTTAACATTTTATTCGTGATAGTCGGCATTGCGCAGTGAGTTTCAATGCCATCATTAGGCGAGAATGAGTAAGGCATTAGGGTAGGAGCAGCGCGAACCTCTGCGATGCAGAAGTGACGCATTGGTAACTTATAATAACGGGCTAAGGGTTGTTAACGTCTTTTTGTACGTGTGTGTGTGTTGTGTGTGTTGTGTGTGTTGTGTGTGTTATGTGTGTGTTGTGTGTGTGCTGTGTGTGTTGTGTGTGTTGTGTGTGTTGTGTGTGTTGTGTGTGTTGTGTGTGTTGTGTGTGTTGTGTGTGTTGTGTGCTGTGTGTTGTGTGTTGTGTGTGCATCCGTCTCGAAATTTGTAGAGGTGTTCCAGCCAATGTCCTGAGCCCAAATTTTGCAAGGCGCATGCTAGCAGCATAAAAGTTCACTATACAAAATCGCGAGAAGATCCGTTCGGTGGATCTCTCAAAAACTGCGCATCAAATGGATCCAGGTGGTTTCTGACCGGCAAATTTGGGCCAGTAATTCATTTTTTGCAAACTCATGGATGCGTTTGACAAGTAAATGTGCAAACCATGGACTTCAGCCCAGAAGAAGATCAAAGGTCTATTACTTTGCGAAAATGACGCCAAAAAGAATTGGCTGTGTTGATGTTCAATTTGCCAAGATTTACCTAATCATTTCTAGAGGTTTTTGCACAGAGATGCAACCCACAGTAATTATGTCTTTGAGATGGCAAGCCGTAGAAAAAACCGATTTGAATTTGCGTTTGTTCTTCTGAGGAATGTTTCATCCCCGCGGAATTGTCGATCTCACATGAAAAAGCTTTAGAAATGAATGGTTGTTTGCAAATGATTCGTGATAGTTGCATAGCGCGGTGGTGAGTTTCAATGTTTATTGCGGGATGAGTAAGGCATACAGATTGTGAGACCACTGCAAGCCTCTGCGAAGCAGAGGTGACGCACTGGTTAACATATAACGAGAAAAATGAGATGAAATGACAAGCATAATTAACACCGAATGTGGTTTGTTTGGATCACCCTTCGCGATCGTAGCAGATTGCACCGCAGACGATTTTTTTTTTGAGAAAATGAGAAGCTTTTGGAAAAATTATGAAACCTTTTCTTGCTCGTATGAAAATTTTTAGGTGAAAGTGTATGTAGAAAGCATGAAAAATCACGCGAGCAAAGGGTCGGTCCTATCTCAGCTGGAACCGTCCCAGCTAATTCAGTTCCAGTCAAGCACGACTTTCAATCATATGAGTTTACAGGAATTTTTGGGCCATAGTGCAAATCCCCTCATGCACATGCGCACTTCAAGTTTGGTGTCATACCATTGCGTTTTGGTCGTAAACTTTTGTTTCTTCGAGGTGCAGCATGCTGCCTGCATGTCGATGGCACGCCAAAGGCATGTTTGCAGCTTTCCCGGGACCTGCAAAAAATGATCCCCTTTGCCTTTTCCCCAGAAACGATGATCAGCTTGACCTGATTCCAGCTGTGCCAAGCCATGCCTCAAAGGCACCGTCCACTCAAATTGGGAGTCGTTAGACTTTGATACTGTGCTGGAGCCCCTAATTGAACATTTCTAAGTCTCGCTGCAAAAAATAAATTTCGCGAAAAAACGGCTATGCTGGTTCCACCCACCAGTTTGGGTGGTCTGAAGATGACACGTCAACTTCGGCTTCAATGTATCCATTGTTACATACATAGTGCATTGGAGACATTTGCTCGTGATCGACTTGATCTATCATATTCGGATAGGAGTCCCCTTCATCAGCCTCTTGCCTTTTATAAATATCGATAAGATACTAAAATAGAAATGATCAACTGCGGAGCATCGTTCTTGCGCTGAAAAGATAGATCAGATAATGAACAGAGATCGAGAGGTTTGAGATTGAGATTAGAGATTCGCGCCTCGAGTCGTTGATATGCCATTTCAACAACTTTTCACAGCTAACAAGGCTCGATTAAGTTACGTTAAGTAGAGCAATTGATATTTGGGCTGATGATGTGGCTTGCTTTATAACAAGTTTATGCCAATGCTGCAGTGATCGATCCTTCTGGCGTGAACAGCACTAACATAAATTCAATAGAAATGGTCAGCATACGCTGCAACAACAGGCCGTGGCAATTGAGCGGCCATTTTCCCCCAGCGAGCGGCAAGCTGTAGCGACCTCACCCTTCCGTATGATTGGCCCTTAACTACCAAATTATCGCACAGAGCTACCAGCGATGGTAAGGGGGGTTGCTGGCCGCACGCATGGCGCTTATCCCTGAGCATTTCTGCAGGCTTCCATTTACATTTGCATAGGTAGTGAAAACTACGCGCAGTTCACAGAAAAAACCTTTTGTTAATAACCAGTTCTCTAAAATTTTCTTTGGGAGCACCATCTTTGATTTGCATATCGAAGTTTTTTGCTATTCCCCGTGACTTTCACGAAACCAATGTGAAGGAAGTGTATACTCCGGCAATTGAGTAATAGTATCTTCTTGGAAGTCCGTGCTTTACAACAACAATAGGATGCAATCAAAAAGGTGCTTTTCCAACCTCAACCACAAGATGCGAACAGCCTACACTGCAAGAGCGCGCTAAGTGATTACGATTAGCCGTATCCCTGTTTTGCAGCTAAGGAGGTACGATTATGTAGCATAGAACTGCCTTTCTTGTGTTCTAAAAAAGTCAAAGGAAGCTTCTAGAGATTGAGCGGTTGTTAGTGGGCCGCATGTATTCAAAGGTAAATCTTTTCTGAATGTTCCTCAAAACTATCATTGCAATGCTCTTGGATATGAAAATTTTGAAGGTGCCATCCATCCAAAATAAGAATTTCTATGTTATATAGTAGCAGGGACCATATCAAGCAGTCCTCAAATCTCGCTGCAGAAGATGATTCCAAAGCGAGACGCTCCCGAAGATAGAAGCGGCCACGCTGGCTCCGCCCATCAATTTGGTGGCCTAAATAAAAGCCAAGATTGGGGTTCAGGGCAGACAGAAAAATCACAAGTCAAATCTGTTCTATGACGGTCTTGGATACATTGAAGCCGAAGTTGACGTGTCATCTTCAGACCACCCAAACTGGTGGGTGGAACCAGCATAGCCGTTTTTTCGCGAAATTTATTTTTTGCAGCGAGACTTAGAAATGTTCAATTAGGGGCTCCAGCACAGTATCAAAGTCTAACGACTCCCAATTTGAGTGGACGGTGCCTTTGAGGCATGGCTTGGCACAGCTGGAATCAGGTCAAGCTGATCATCGTTTCTGGGGAAAAGGCAAAGGGGATCATTTTTTGCAGGTCCCGGGAAAGCTGCAAACATGCCTTTGGCGTGCCATCGACATGCAGGCAGCATGCTGCACCTCGAAGAAACAAAAGTTTACGACCAAAACGCAATGGTATGACAGTACTCTGCGTTGATACCACTGCTT